TGCCCTAGGAGCTTGGGACGGCAGCCGGGGAGCTTCCTTCCGGGTGCTGGAACCGGCTGAGCTTCTCTGCCCTAGGAGCATGGGATGGAGGTGGGGGAGCTTTCTCTGCATCTGTTTTTATTCAGGTCCTGTTGCCAGCTCCCACTGAGCAAATATTTGTTGAATTAATAATTAAAATTTTCACTCATACATATAGTACTAAATCACATACAGAAAAATAAATTTAGAAATGGGACAAATTATCAACGGGGTTAAATAAATTAAGGCAAAGCCACACGGTAGAATACCATGCAAACATTGCTGACTATTCAGTGACATGGGAAAATGTTAGCACTACTATGTTAAATCAAAAAAGAATATCAAAACAGTATATAAGAAGAACATAAAATAAAATCTAAACTATGTAAAAAATGAGTATGTCTATGTAGAAAAAGAAGAATTTCATCAAATAGAGAAAAGAGACTAGAAATACATCAAAATATCAAAAACGGTTATCACTCAGTGGTAGAATCCTAGATGACTTTCATTTTTTTCAATATGATTTTGTCCAAAAGTTTTTTATAATATATATTGCTCTCAACAACTATTAAAACTAATTTTTAAATTGCCAGTTATTGGGGGAGATGATTAGCTCACCCCATCCAAGCACAGGCAGAGAAGGACGTGAGGCCCAGGGTGACCTGCCAAGGATGAGGAGGCCTGAGCCCTCTCCAGGGCCACCATGTCAGGGAGGGAGTGATGGTCAGGACAGTAACAGTGACAGGAAGAAAGAGGGGGAAGGCCAGATATGCAATGTCAAGGTTTAGTTAGATCCAGTGAAAACTATCATTTCCTCACTTAGGCATGATGAGAAGGTCCTTTGAGTTATTCAGCCCAACTCCTGCATATACAGCTGAAGAAACCCCAGGCAGGTAACAAATGGCCTGCCCCTGTCTCCAACTGAAAACAATCCCTAAAAGCCCAGAACTTTCATTAAAACATTATATTGTCCAGTGTTCTTCATTGCCCAGTGGTTCTCACATCGGGGGATGTTGCATCCCAGAGGCCAGTTGGCAGTATCTAGAGTTATGTTCTGTTACTACAGTAGGCCTGGGCATGGGCAGGGCTGCTACTGGCACCTAGTGAGTACAGACCGTGGATGTTGTTATGTAGCCTACAACATATAGGGAAGCCCCACAATGAGGAATTACCTAGTCCAAGATGTAAATAAAGCCTGGATTACAAAACTCAGACCTAGAAGTTTTTTGTTTATCAGACAGGAGTTTCTTAAATCTAAGAACAGCGATTTTCAAGGTTATCCTCTGGCATGGAATGAGGTCAGGGCCTGTCAGTGCCTTTTTACTTTTTATTCAAGCTGACTGAAAATCTAACACATTCTGTTGTTTGCTCCAAAATATTTTTATCGTAGAACAAGTGTACTCATTGATTTTTAAAAGTTCATCTGGGCATGGTGATAAACACCTGAGGTCCCAGCACTCTGGAAAGCTGATGAGGCAGAAGGATTGAAAGTTTGAGCCAGGCCAGGGCAACTTAGTGAAACCCTGTCTTAAAACACAAAATTTAAAAAGCCTGGGACTGTAGCTTGGTGTGAAAGCCCTGGGTTCAATTCTCAAAAGAAAAAGATCACCCCAAAGAAAAAAATATGTTTTAATGAAAGTTCAGAGCTTTTTTTGGATTGTTTTATAAGCTGCCGAGACCTGTCTTAAGATAGTTCATTTTAAAAACTATCTTACCTTAATAGGAGTTTTACACTGGCTTATATATGATCATTGTACAAAAATGCACAAATATTTAAGGGAGTTTTTTAAAATGGTAGTTCTGTCACCCAAGAGGAAGCATTATAGTTTATTATTTATGTTTTTGATGAATTTTAAAAATAATTGAGACTGTTCTATTTATATAGCTTCATCTTCCTAAAACAAGCCTTTATAAACATTCAAACAGCTGCTTAGTACCCGTGTCACATGATACTGAACCCCCGACGTAAAACCTTTTGCTGAACACAGGTTATTATCAGTTTTTCACTGGATAAATCTGTGATGAATGTTTCTTCATTTCATGTTGCTTTTAAGTAGCATACCAACCTGGATTGTTCTGAGGGCTTTGGGACATGGTCCCTGACAGAATTCCCTGACAGAGCAGGACAAGAACATCTCCTACCAAATGCAGCAGAGGAGGAAACACTGAGATGCACCATTCAGAACACCTGATTGAGGGGAGAGGTCTAGAATGCCTAGGGTCATGGCTTTAAAACTTGGGCACACCAACCAAACCATATATCAGCACGTATACAGATATGTATAAGTAAATACCAAAAAGAAAAAACTAGGGGGATTAGCCCCAGGCTTTTCACCACGGTGACTCTGGGACAGGAAATTGGGATTAGAGGGAGAACCAAGCAAGAGACATCTTGGGGCTTTTCCATTATCTTCTATATTATTTCTTGAATGCTTTATTATGAGTGTGAATTCCTATGTAACATGTGTAACATTGAAGCTCAAAATATGTTTGAGAGTTATTTGGATCTTCATGGACTACAAGCCTTATTCAATTCAGCAAATGCATTTCCTTGTTCTACCCAACCGTGGCACATACTTGACATGGTGCAGTAGCAGGCAGATGAGTGTCCCCAGAGGCCATGCTGTGTGTTATCAGGAAGCTGTACTGTGTATTTAGATGATGGGCCTTAGTGTGCTCTCCTCACAGCATACTGGACTTGACTCCTGTGTATCCATGGTCTGTGACGTAGAAGACAGGGTGGAAACACATGGTCTAGGGCCAGAGCCAGAAGGTTTCAGGTTGATGGGCTCATGTTGCTCTTGCCTCTCTGGCTGATGTTTTAAGCTCTGTTTTAGCAACTGTTTCTCCATGAAGTGTGCACAGCTGACCCTGAGCCAATGGATGGTGAGATCATTCTTGTTTCAGGCCGCACTCCTGGTCCCTGGCTCCAGGCCGAGGCAGCAGGGCAGAGCTCCGATGACATCAAAGGTAGAAATTCTCAGGTAACAATACACCCCTAACAAACACACCCCACAGGTCTCTGAATGTAAGGCCAGGCATTCTCCTCGGGGTTTCTCCTTCACAGCTGAACATTTTTCCTCAGACTCCTTTTCCTTGGGAAAGCCATTTGGTGTACCTTTGTTTCAAGCCAGTATGAGGGCCGGGGATGTAGCTCAGTGGCTCTGTGCCTGCCTGGCAAGCACAAGGTCCCAAGTTCAATTCTGAAACGCCCAGTTTCAGACTCTGAAGGGAGAAGGGGGTTCCTTGGAATCACTGCCACATGCAGAAGCAAGTGTAATCACTGGGAACCCCTTCAGACTCACTCTGCTCCATCGCCCCTGGTCTTCCCTGACAATGATGGTTGGAGAAGCCTGTGAGAAAAATTCTGTAACACTTATAAAATCTAATTAAATGTTTTCTTTCAACTATGGTTTCTTTTAGCACCCTTGGTATGTTTTCCTCATCAATATTATAATTGATTTTGACCAAATATTACAATCCAAGGCCCCGTGCCTACAGGAAATAGACAAAGTTCATCAGGATTTGCCTCAGCGCTTATACAGGACAATCTTTGAAGAAAGGTCTTTATTCTCAACAAAGGCAATTTCAGAGTGTTTTCTAAAGTGGACAGAAGTCATGTCTCTCACTGCACATGATAGGGCCTCACCTTTAACAAATGACAGGCTCTCATCTTTAAAAGTCCTTTCTTTTTAGAATCACGTATTCAGTCCTTCCCTGGCCTTCTCCAGTTTCAGAATTTGGTGTAACAGACAACAGGCTGGCTGTTCTTAAACTAGGCCATTCTGCAGCTGCACAGAATGTCAAGAAAAGTGATCTGAGAAAGAAGGGACTTGGTTCCTGAGAGGTAGGACAGTTCTGAGGAGAGGAGGACTTCCTTCCTCTAGCAAATATCAGGTGACTCAAGAATTGCAGGAACCATTCTCAGATGATCTCAGGTTCAAAAGTGGGTGTACAATTGTAGTTAAAGTATGTATGCGGAAGGAAGGGAGGGAGGGAGAGGGGAAGGAAGGAAAGAAGGAAGGAAGGAAAGGAAAGGAGAGGAAAGATATTTGCAAAACTGTTAGTAGGAAAAGAGGATTCTGGGAAGATGGCAGGATAAGAAGTACAAGGAGTCTGTCTCCTTGCCTAGATAACAGTTGCACTGGTGGGATCTGTCTGGTGGAACTATCTTGGAACTCGGGGGTCTGTTGAAGGTGTGTAGCATCCAGGGAAAGTTCAGTGCTAAACTGCAGTTGATTTTAGTCAGTTTCAGCTCTTAATACAAGAGCCCGTTCCCTGGTCACCAGAGTAGGCAACTGGGCACAAGTATCTGGAGCAGCTTGTGCCAGCTGATGGGAACCAACATGAGCAACACTTTAAAACCCCAACCTCCAAATACTGAGGATCTGTGCTCTAATAGCTTGTTGTTGCTTCTGTTCACAGATGTGCAGATAAAAGAGGTGGGCAGTCATGGTTGCATCTTTTCTCCTATTGTTCTAAGCTCCTCCCCTTCTGGCTGAAGTGACTTACTAAGGATTATTTTTTCCTTCCCTTCATTTTTCTCTCTTTTCCCTTTTGGGAGCCAAGCATTAAAAAAAAGTTTTTACAGTAAGATATTTGACAGTAACTTCGTATCTGGGGAGAATTGGAAAGTGAGCGTGTATGCCTGGGAAAGGCGCAGGCTCAGGAAACACCTAGGACCTCCTGTGTGCACCTCAGGCTGATTCGTGGCACAGAGACAACCAGTGACAATCCAAAAAATAAAATAAAATAGAAACAATAATGGAAAAAATAAAAAATGCAACCCCCAAGGAAGAGAAAGAATCTGATTTCCAGGGTTACTGCACTATTTGATTCAAATGTATAGTTTTCAACAAAAACACAAGTTATATGAAGAAACGGGAGTAGGGTTCATTCAAAGGAAAAAATAAACCAACAAAAACCACCCCTGCAAAAGACCTGATGGCAGATCTGCCAAAGACTTTAACACAGCTGCCTTTAGTGATGTGCAAAGAAAGGGAAGGTGTCGAAACTCAGGAAAGTTATGTCTAAACAAAAGGGAAACTCAATAAAGAGACAGAAAAAAAAGGAGGGCAGGGCATGCCCCTCTGTGCAAAGGTCCTGGGTTCATCCCCAGAACCCTAAAAGAAGGCAGATTTGAACTGGCAAAAGAATGAATCAGTGAACTTGGAGGTAGGACAGTCAAAATTGAGTCTGAAGTCAGAAATTCTAAAAAGATCCACAGTGAACAGAACCTAGGAGACCTGTGGGACACCGTCAGGTGAACCAACACATTTACTGTGGGATTTTTACAAGGAAAAGAGATAGAAGAGGATAGAAAGAACACTCGAAGAAATAATAGCTGAAAAAGCACCCAAATTTGATAATAAGCATGAATATAAACTTCCAAGAAGCTCAACAAACTAAGTAAGATTAACCCAGAGTCTTACATCGAGAAACACCGTAATTAAACTTCTGAAAGACGATGAGGATTTTAAAAGCAGCAAGAAAAAATCAGCTTGTCACATACAATCTTATCCTTGATAAGAGTGTCAGCAGATTTTTTTTTTATCAGAACTTTGGAGGAGAGAAGGTAGGAGGCCAATATATTCAGAGACTAAAGAAAAAAGCTGTCAGCCAAGAATTCTACTATATGTGCCTAAACTATCCTTCAGAAGTGCGGGATAAATTAAAGTATTCACAGATAAATGAAAGCGGAAGGAATTTTTCTTACTAGACTTGCTGTTCTTCAGGAAATTTATTACCTTCTCTTTCCTTAATGTCCTATGCAACTACAGAGCTTGAGAATGACCCAGTTTAGACATTGGCACTGGGTTATCGTGGATTTTTACTTTCTTCTTAGTGTACTTCTGCAATTTCCATACTTACTACTGTTAAGATTATTAAAAAATATAATTCTTATAATCATAGTCCCATACCTTTATATGGCTCTTTACATTTTTCAGTTAGCTTGTCTGATCCTTTTAAGAACCCTATGAACAAGCTGGAAAGACAGCTTTAATGGCATTTTTACAAAAGAGAAAACTGCAACCCAGAGAGTCTAGCAGCTTGTGCAAGGTCATATGAACACACTTTCTGACCTCTGTCCAGTGCTCCTGACATTGAACCTCCCTGTTTATCCCGGTGTGTTAGAATCTCCAGGGATAAATGCCATCTTCACCACCAGTGTGGCAGGGCTGTGGGACATTGTGCAGAATCTGGTCCCCACCCTCATGACAAGCGCATGCCTAAATCAGCCCAGACTGATGATTTTTATCTCTGACCATGATTGTGCAGTAAAGGATGGATTATGAATTCTCCTGTGTGCATCCCACAGTCAAGATCTTTTATGTCTCAACGGAGACCTCCTCAATTCATTCTCAGTGCACCAAAACACAGAGCAGTGCCCAGAAAAATCACTGGTTCTAGATATCGAGCAATGGCTCAGTGAATGCTCTTTTTATGGATACAGTGAGCACTTCATGGGTGGGAGACCTGGGCTGGAAGTCTGAGGCCTGGGCCCCTTTCTCCCTTTTCTTTTACCTTCACCTGGTACCTTCAGAATATTCTTTGTGTTCCTTGAGTGTCTTCCAACTGAATTGCTGATGCTCGGTCCCATAAATGTTTATAAGACAGCATTACGTCCCCGCATATAAGCTCCATTTGCCATATTGTCTGTTTGCCCACCCACAACCCCTTGGGTAAAATCAGCTCTTTACATGGGTTGGAACCATCTCCCCAACCTTGATGTCCTTGTATGAGTGAGGCAAAACCTTGGGCAAGTCTTTTGTGTGCAGTGTGTCTTCTCGCACCACCCAGCAATGTTCTGCCATGTTTCCACAGTTAGCCCTAAAGATGCTCCGGTGAGAAGATGATGAAACCAGTCCTGGGGCTGCATACGGCAGGATGGTACCCACTGAAGAACGTGTCTCACTCTGCTGTACTTAGACTATATTCGGCTGACATACAGGCTCTGACAGAGCACTTATTTATTGTAAATAGGTGGTTTGCACGGGCTTTAAAGCACCATTTTAGTCGACTTTTATTTGAGTCATATTTTTTAAAACTCCATGTCTCCATTTTTTAAAATGCATATTGGCATTAGTCTGTCTGTACAAATAGAGCCCTGTCATACCCCGTAGTGTCTATTCTGTGACTGTAAATATGCTTGCAGGCTGGCCCTTCCTAGATTCTGAACCGTTTTTAAGAGTGTTCTTAGTTTGCAAGTAGTCCCAAAGTCATAATTACCCACCATGGCTTCTTATTGGCATGACTTTATATTCTCATTGCACCAACTGCAAAATCAAACCAAATAATGCCTTATAATGATGCAGCTCAGAGGAAGTAATGTGTCCCCACACCCCGACAGTGCCGCGCAGCCTCCAGTGAGCGAGATGCCACATCTTGCTTCCGTTTTGCAGTACAGGGATGTCTTTTTTGCTGCCTAATGTAAATATATCGCAATGTCAAAGCAGGAGTAGGCTTAGCCCCTCCAGAGTCTTCCGCAGGGCCCCTTTTGTAACTGAATTATTTTACAAGTAGTCAATGCTCTTACTGTTTACAGTATCCCTGGTGTCCATGTCTCTGTCATTTACCTCCTGTCCCTGCAAGATCCTAGCCCCATCCCAGTAGTAAGGATAAGGTCAGCTATATGAGATTTTGATATTTTATTTTTTTGAAGATTAAATAATGTACACAATTCATGATTATAATAAACTACAAATTCTGTATCAGAGGTCTGTCCATCCCCATCCTCACCCTGAGTTCAGGATTTCCATGGAAAATATGACATGAAAAAGAACATCTTGTAAAATATGTGCCTCAAAAATCTGGCCCCATCCCTATGCTTTAGGACCCTGGGAACCAGCCCTCAGGCCAAACAGAGCTCCCTTCCGAGCTTAGAGAACATAGAAGGCTGACCGTTTCCCCTGCCTTCTGGTGGGCACCTGGGGCCCAGGGATGTGTGCCAGTTCCACTGCCCTGAACACAGAAAGGCTCAGGCCCTGCTGAGACTGCCCTCCTACTTTCCTTGAGCCAGCAAATGTGGAAGTGTATCTGCTTGCTGCCTGACCCCAAATGCTCCCCAACCCTGGCAGAGAGGGCTGTATTAGGGAAAGGAGAAAAAATAGAAACAGACTGATCCTGGGCTGTGCTCAAAATAGCTACAAACAAAAGGAAATTGAGAAGGGAGAGGAGTGGAAAATGTTTGTTTTGGAGCCACCCACTCACATCTTTAGGATATCAGGTGGAGGCAAAGCCATCCAGAAATGGTGGACAGGGACGAGGGTTTGGCCGGCCTGACCGCAGACACCTGGACATTGTCTGGAGCAAAGATTAAGCTGGTATCCTACATCAGTGCTGTGCTTTCTGGATCCAGACAAGCAGCTGAGAGTCAGGATAAAGTTCCTATCTCTGCAGCATGACTCAAGTCAAAACTGTAATAGTGAAATTTACAGGCCTTTTGTATTACTGATGTGTTGTGGAAGGTTTCAGAAAGGTCAGAATTTCTTTGTTGGAACGGTATCCACTCTGCCTTCCTCCCAGGTGTGTAAGTAATTATAAAAGCTTTAATTACCATGTCGAAGAAGCCCTAGACAAAGGCAAGCCCACCTCCAGAGTAGACCACCTGCCCTGATGCTGTGTTCGTACGTGCATGTTCTGCACTGCTGGTTTATAAATCAAAAATCAAACTAGTCAAGGACAGAGGAGAAGAACAAGCAGAAACCAAAAACAGCACGTAGAGAGAAACCTCAGGACTCTGGCATCACATCGCTCCTCGAGGCTGTCACTGAATCCATAGCCTCTGTTCTTGAGTGCTGGTGCACGAGTTCCCTGGGCAGTAACCATGATGTCACAGGGAGAGGCTCCTTTGCTGTCCTCCCAGATTCCCGCTGACTCTGCCGTCTGTGACTCCCCAAGTGTGTCTCCTGTATTTTATATTTATTGATGTCTCCTCTGCAAGTTCATTTCTTTGTACCTAATAAACTTTAATAAGCAGAAATGCTTCCAAGATTGTTTCCTAGTAAAGTTCCACCTGTGGTCACCACTACTAATGTAAGCCAATTTTTTTTAATTGGAGTGAAAGAATTGTACATATTTATGGGAGATATATATATATGATCAAATTTGAGTACTAAGCCAAACCTTTGTAAGGATTAGGAGGGATTCTAAGAATGCCACAGCAAAATGGATATTACAAGGACCCTGTGCTTGCTGTAATAAGTGCTTATTGTGTTAGAAACCAGGCCTTCCTCCTTTGAGCTAATTTCATGAATGTTTCGAAAAATCAAGCAAGGTAAAAAAAATTGTTTTCAGATGCATTTGAAAAAGTAAATAGCACTATATTAAGTTTTATTATTATAGAATGGGCGGAGTGTAATGCTTATAAATTCTGCTAAAGTGTGTTAAAATGGAACAACTTGCTGCTTAAAGCCCCCTTAGTTCCCTTCCCCCAATTCAGCAAACCTCTCAAAAAAATCTGTATGAAGCAGAACTATTTCAACCTCCATTTGTGTTTTATTTTATTTTATTTCATTTATTTTATTATTATTTTTTTTTTGGTACTGGGGATTGAACTCGGGTCCTTGTGTTTGCGAGGCAACTGGCACCACTGAGCTAAATCCCCGGCCCATTTGTGTTTTAAATGGATGCTGGAAGCTGATACAGGGGGGTGAGGTGTATCTGCTGTGTGAGTTTGGAAGGCAAACACAGACCTGAATCTTTTGTTTTGTCTCTTACAAGTTTGGGAAAGTAAGTCTGTGCCTCTGTTTGTTCATCTGCCCAATGGGAGCATGTGTATCCAAGCCAGCCCTGAACCCTCAGAGCCAGGGAAGGACACACCTCACACTGACAAGCAACCAGTTTACATATTTCATGCTCAGACACAGCTCTGCTGGCTGCATCCCGGGAGATCCACTTACATGTTTGCTGAGCTGCTGAGACCACATTTCACTAGCCCTGCCATTGGGTAACAAAGCAAGAGGGGTAATTAAAATTGATAGATGTTTCAGAAATAGATCTCATCTAGAAACTGGCGTTAAAGCTAGCTACTAATTTTGCATCAGAATGAGTTAAGGGGCTGACTTATTTTGCCTGTCCCAGACTGGTGGAGGTACAGATAAACTGTTTAAGGACTGAAAGAGCCAGTCAGAATGGGGAAGAAAAGCAAGGGCCCAAGTAATCTACAAAGCAGACGATGAACTTCAAAGTCATTGACCATCGAGGGTGGTGAAGGAGCTGTAACTGTAAGGACCCCTTATGGAGTTAAGAAGGGGAGGAGGTGGTCCCCAGAAGAGTGCGCAGAGCAAGTTAACGGGAAGGACTGCAGATTCCAGGAGCAAGTCCCGAATTCTCAGATCATCCCCCAGGAGGCTTTGGCATCCTTCATGAACCCATCCTATTATGGGATGCATTGTGCTCCCCCCAGATTATACTTAAGTTCAAATCTTGAGTACCTCAGGGTGTGACCTTATGTGGAAATAAGGTCATTGCAGATATAACTGATTAAAATGAGGCCACCCTAAAGTAGAGTGAGCCCTAAATCAAACATGACCGGTGTCCTTATTAAAGGGGGGAGCAGTTTGGACATAGCCAAGCACACAGGGAGAAGATAGTATAAAGAGGAAGGCAGAGATTGGGGTGATGCCAGAGATTTCCAGCAAAGCAGCAGAAGCTCGGCAAGAAACTTGGAACAGATTCCCTCTCACAGCCCTTGGAAGGAATCAACCCCACAGATACCTTGATCTAGGACTTCTTGATCCAAAACTGTGAACATTTTTCCTGGTTTATGATACTGTGTTACAGCAGCACTAGCAACCTAATATGCATTCTGTCACCTTGGAACTTTTCCTCTGTGTGTTATGTTTATTAAGAACAAGCTGGGAAGGGCCAGGGATTTAGCTCAGGGGTTCCACGCCTGCAAACGCAAGGACTCGAGTTCGATCCCTGGTACCAAAACAAAAAAACAAAAAACCAAGACAAAGAACAAGCTGGGAATAAAGATGAAAGAATTAGTATTTCCTTATCATGCACATGAAGCCATCATCTAGACAGACCTTGATAGGTCCATTCATTACTGGTAATTAAGTCCTGTTTTTCTGAACAAGACAATCAATTGTGTTCTGCCGGCACATGAGTGAAGAGAGCTTTTTTTTTCATATTGGTATCCTTGAGTTGTGGAGTTGCTAAGCCTTTAGAATAAACTATCTGATGATCTAGTTTGGGTTTTTTTCTTCTTTAAAAAAGTCATAGTAAAATACACATAACATAAAACTTGCCATCTTAACTATGTTTAGTGTTTGGCAGCGTTAAGTACATCTACGTTGCTGTGCACCCTTTGCCACCACCCATCTCCACAACTCTTGTCATCTTCAAAAACTAAGTATCTATCAAACTATTCCTTATTTCCTCTCCTACCAGCCCCTGGCAACCACTCTTCTACTTACTGTTTCCTTAATTTTGACTACTCAAGTACTTCATGTAAACGTAATGTCTTCCTGTGACCAATTTATTTTACTTATCTGAATGTCCATACATGTTGTAGCATATGTCACAATTCCCTTCCCTTTTTTAAAGACTAAATAATAATCCACTGTGTAGATGTACCACATTTTGTTTGTTCATCCATCCATCTGTGCATACCTGCTTCCACCTATTAGCTACTGTGAGTAATGCTGCTGTGAACCTGGTGGGCAAATATTTCTTCCAGACCTTGCCTTCTGATCTTCGATGTATACACTCAGAAGTGAAATGACTGAGTCATACAGCAGCTCTATTTTTAATTTTTTAAGCATTGTTTTCCACAGTGGATGTACCATTTTATGTTCCCACCAGCAGTGCACAAGGGTTCCAGTTTCCCTACATCCTCAACAACATTTTTTTTAATAGTCCCTGTCCTGATGGATCTGAGTTAATATCTCATTGTAGTTTTGTGTTATTTTTAAAGAGTGAATTAATCCAAAGAAAGGTACCTAATACGGGAAATTGGGAGAATGATAGTTTCCTGAAGTTTCCAGTTAGAAAAACATAGCCCCTTTCATTCATTTTCTATGTTGTGACTGATGCCTACATTTTTTCATGAGACACAAGACAGAAGACATTAATCTCAGTATCTTTTATTGTATGCTTGATGCATTTAGAGACAATCCCAAGGCAAGCACTGGATAGGGGTGTTATCTGGCTTATAGATGTGTTTATACAAAAGACTGTTAAGACTACACGGTCAGTTCCCACTGCAGGAAACAGAAAGATTTTATTTTCCCTGGCAGTAGCATTTTCCAGTTAACACATTTAAATTCTCACAACATGATTGCAAACATGTACATATTGGTTCCCACAAGAAATCTGCAGATGACATTTTGGGGTGTTTGGCATCAATCGGGTAAAGCACATTTTGACACACACCATAGAAGGGGAGCGGGGATTCTGAACTGGGTGGAATGAAATGCCACAGCTACAGGAAGCATAAGGTTGTGCCAGGACAGCTGGGCATATCACCTGCCATGCCTCCCCCTGGATGTGAAAGTGGCCAGTGAAGTAGGTCCCCTCCCATCTCTTCCCTGGGCTTCCTTCCTGAAGCCGAGAGCTCATCCTTTCCAATACAGGATGCAGGGCTCTCCAGGAAAGAATGCAGAGGTGTCATGACTGACACACTGGTCCCACCTGGCTTCCTTGCTGAGCCAGCCAGAGATACGTGTCACCTGTGCCAATGCTGGATGATGTCATTTAGGATGCAAAGTTATTTGGTCGATAATTATGCTTTATAGCTAAAGAGTCACCCAATAGTAAGGGAACTTCATGACTAAGATCTAATAGGCATACACCTGCTCTGTTAGCTTGTAAGGTAGACTCCTAATAATAACACTGAGTCTTATGTTATTGAGCACTAGAATCTCTGTAATTTTGATTATATCCTTATTCTACCTACAGGTTCAAGTCACCTCCAAGAATGAAAAGGGACTATTTTTGCTTTGCTAATTAACTTTCACTAGTGTATCTGCCTTAAGTCTTCACCTATGGTGAATCCCACTTACTAGATGAGACTAACTAGCTTATGTTAGATCACAGGGAAGAAGTGGGGGAGCGACTTTGTCCTTTATGGCCATGATTTCTTTCTGCACAAGGCATGCACAGCCGCCTCATCTTAATAGATACACAAATGATACTCTAGGAAGCTATTTACACACAGTGACCTTTAAACATTGTCATATTTCATCTTGTATATTCATTTCCTATATTGGCTTCAGAAAAGCAATCCCTTGTGAAGAAATTATCCATGTAATGAGCATCTTTCCAAATCACTGTTAGGAGCATTTAAAAATGAACAGTCCCCCTACAACAACCCACTCAAAGTCCAACAATGTATTTTCAGCTGTTAATTTAAAGAAGATAAAGGTCACTGAAAGTGAGTACATCCACATCAGTAGATTCCTCTCTCTCTCTCTCTCTCTCTCTCTCTCTCTCTCTGTCTCTCTCTCTGTCTCTGTGTGTGTTCCCCTAGCCATCCTGATCCCCAAAGAACCAGTCCACTGCTACTATTTGGGTTCTGGCTGCACACAGACCACCTCCATTGCCTGGCAGCTTTTGCCAGGCTGTGCCAGAGGGCTGTGGTACCCTCTACTGGTGAGGCAGGGACCTCACAGCTGTGCTGTGCAGTGCCAGCCAAGACCATTCTCAGGTAGAGTTGGCCCTTCTCTGCAATGCTTGATTGAGGCCAGGGCCCCTAACCGAAGTAGCCATTGTGTTCCCCACTGCATAACTGGGTAATGACATCAAGCTAGCAGCCTTGCCTGCGATCTTGCCTGCGATAATGAAAGGAGGCCTCTGTGTAATTTACTGTCTTCTAGATTCCTCATCAAACCTGGAATCACCTTGGCATTCGCAGACATGGTGAGGGTAGGGAAATGTTTCCTAACAGCCGGAAGGTAGAACCATGCAGTGAAATCCTAGGGTGGCTTTCAGCATCGTCTCATTTTACATAACCCCTCATCAGGTGGCCTTGGGAAGGCATAGGTACCTGTATCATCCTTGAGCCCCATCCTTTCTTCCTGAGCAGCTGCAGACTCCTCACAACTACAAGGCGCCACAACCAGTAGCCATTAATCTTGTCTACTAAAATACTCTTCCCATCTCACCATGGGTAGGTGGGAGTTTTACATACAGAATTTACCAAACAGCTGAGCAAAAGTAGGAAGAAAAGGTTTGTTCCAATAAAACCTCTGATCCTTAGTGTCCACACCCATATGATGAAGGATGGGGGCCCTTTCAGCCCTCATGGTCTAGGATTCTGCTGCTGGGTAGGAATTACTAACCCTAAGCCATTTCCAAGACTGCAGATGTTCACAATATTTTTGTTTGCAGATTCCTGTCAAGGATGGTAAAGCATAATGAGGAACAAATGGCATTCTCCCACTGGGTGCTCTATTATCTATGCCCCTGGCTATTTCAGGAGTGGTTGAGAGTTTCAGTGGAGCTCAGCCCCCACCACCTTCTACCCACTTCATCGAGCAGTCTAGGGCACAAGGACTAAGGGAGAAGACCCAGGAAGCGAGCTGCTTCATATACCAATTCGTGACACCCAACAGGCTGGGCAGGAAGGGGGTGGGTGGACTCTTACCAGCACCAAAATGCTTCTGCATCCTTCTGTCACCTAGTTGCCCTCTGTCCTCCCAGAGCCCACCTGGTCTTCCCTACATGTTTTTCTATACTCTGGTGGCAAACACAACATTGGGAACAAATCAGCTTAAGTACATTCTCTTTTCTGAGATAAAGTAGTGGCTGCTCGACTTTCAGCCACTTTGACTGCAATCTAAATAGACAAGAGTTTCTCCTTTTCTCTCCCTTGTTAGCTGAGAGAGCTGCAGCTGTGTGAGATGGAATTCTGCCACAGGGCCATTTAAGGGATCCTAGACTAGATGTTAGCAACTAGACCTGGATCATTTCTACCCAAAGGTGCATCCATAGGGTGAGTGCACTGCCATGAAGGAACAGCAGCCATGCCCTTTGGGAGAGCCATGCAGGGATTCAAGGAGGTCACCTGCATGTTGTCCCGGGATCTCTAAGACCCAAGGGCTCAGACTAACACAGATGCCCAGACTCCTGCCTGTGGAAGCAGGTCTGGAACCACACAGAAGATGGGTCCTTCAGGATCGTGAGCACTGGGATGGAGCTGGGCCTGAGGAGGCCCCTCCTGATTCCTTCCTGTTCATCTATCCCAGGAGACACAGGTGGAGACTGCGCTACACACAGCTATAGGCTCAAGGGAAGGGGAGAGGTTCTCCCTTGACTCCACACACAGGAGCCTGTGTACAGGCAAATGCCTTTTGTTAACCTGGAAGAAACTAGTACTGAAAGACTAAGACTTCAAAAGAGCTTGCTTTTCCCACCAGCTCAGCACAGTGAGCCTGTCTTTCAAGGCCCAATGAACTCTAGCTCTCCCGGGAGAGGCTAATGTGTCCACTGTCACTGAAATAAAAGGTTAGCAGCTTTGAATCCACAATTCATCACACAACCAAACACCGGGCAAGGGGGATACACATTACATAGCAAAGGAAGGGGAACTATGGCAAAGAAGGAGCCGTTTAGAGACACAAGGTAACAATTGGATCTGGCTTCAGAAAAAGAGGCCACATCGTAACTTTCTCGATTGACTCAAACAGGAGAGTGGTTTGTTTTGCTGGTAATTTAGTCAGGTGGGAAGTTTTAAATAAGAAGGGGGAAAGGAATGCTTACTTCACTTAAAGAACTTAATCTCCGTGTCGACACAGTCATAGAAAAGGTCCCCCACCTCGGCGGGGTCCGGGGGATAGGGGCTACTCAGGATTTCCTCCATGGCTTCCAGACCTTGCTTCTCCAGCTCCAACATCGTCTTCCTCAGTGTGCGGCCCTGCTCCTGAGGAAGGACATGGCCACTTCACATGTCAAACCGTCATGACAGTGGACACTGACAACCCACTGGCTTCCTTACCAAAGTCTGGCCCACCGCCTCCAATATGGTCCACACCCTGCCACAGGGACTCCCCTTCTAAACTCATCTGGATTTACTACCAGTCTTGCCCCTTTTTACTTCCTCCTTAGATAGTCCATTGTGCCAAACATAAGAAAATAAGCTTGTACAGGCCACAGAAATACACGCACCAGTTTATCTTCAGGACAAATTGGACCTACTAAAAGTTGGTAGCACAGATGAATTCTGACACATATGTTCTTTCCTCCTCCCCACAGCAAAATACAGCCTTAGATTTAAATTAAAGTTCCTCACTATTGATTCCTGCGGACATTGATTAGATGCTGGGGAAACATACATTGGGCATTTTTCTTGTTTGAATTGTTATCTTTTAACTTTGTTGTTGTTGTTTTTGTTTTTGGTACCGGGGATCGAACTCAGGACCTTGTGCTTGCGCGGCAGGCGCCGGAACCACTGAGCCAAATCCCCGGCCTGTTGTCTTTTAACTTTATTAGCCAAAGCTTTGAAAGTGGGAGGAGCACTTGGAAGAATTACTTTAAAAGAAAGTAATTTGAGGGAACTTGAGAATCTTTTTTAAAACTGTATTTGTATTATGGTAAATATATATATATATATATATAATAAAATACATATATGTCCTATATATATATGTCATAAAATTTACCATTTTAACCATTTTTTCAATGTACAGCTCAGTGACATTTAGCACATTTACACTGTTGTGTAGCCATCACCACCATCTGTCTCCAGAATGTTTTTGGAGAAATGCTTATTTGAAACAACATATGATTGCATCTTTAAATAAAGCATTACCATCAAGCATCCTTTTTATCCTCAAAAGTACGCAAAGAATTTTAGACAGCACATTGAGTATCCCTACTAGAACCGTGCACTTTGTTACTCCTAAATTACCAGTAAGTAAGAGATATTCTTAGCCCACTGAGTTCCAGAGTAAGATCAAAAGCAGAGGCTTTGTCTTACTTGGCTTCAGGAGAGCGGGTGGGCGAATTAACACCAGCATTCTGGGGAGAGCTGGGGTAACCTGGCTTTCTGGAAGGAGACTGCTTGAGCTGGACAGGAGAGAGAGGAGCTTGCAGGCTGCTGCCCTGGCCCCTTTCTCTCTCACCTCGCCACCCACCAAGGGCCCCCACCCAAGCTTACCTGGTCACTTTCCATGACAGCGCGTGCCCACTCGTGGGCCTTATACAGCTCATGGCGGCGGTCTGGTTTCTCCTGGAACCGAGGCTCTTTTTTGGCAGGGTCATCGTCCCCAAAACAGGGGGACTGTGCTTTGGGGACAAGTTTTACATCATCAACAAAGATGAAAGGCTTGAATATTGACCTGGAAAGAAAACAGAGCCACTTAGGCTAGACTGAGCTCAGAGCCTGAGGACACCCAGAAATGGTCCTTTTACTCAACAAAGAACACTGAGCCAACTTTCAGCCAGGGGGTGCTGGGTAGTGGGTGAGTACATGCCAAAACAGACACACGGAGTGTGCTATTAGCTATTTCAGTAAAACTAACAGCCATTTATAAGCTTTACGATCTTCTACTTATAGCAAGGAAACATCAAAACAGAGTGTCTCTGTTCAGGGTGCACCATCTGAGAGACCCTTTTCAGTTCTACAAAGTCAGGCAAATAGACGTGCAGTGTTGGGGGAAAGGGTATAATGACCCATCAGTCTGAGGTAAAGAGCCCTTACTGCTTCTTTCCTGGATAAGGGTTTCTGTTTTTGAGGTTCTGTCCCACTGAAAAAATCTTTGTAACGTCTCTCACAGACTCAAGGAGGGGACAGATTAAGGCAGATGACATTGAAGGATCCCAGAGCCCCCACAGGGGCCCAGTTTATCAGATCTGGATATTTTTTTCCTCTTCGAAATGGGCACACCTTGGCCCGCTCCAAGGAGCCTCACATGGGACAGGAGTGAGCTGCAGTGTTGACTCTCAGCCCTGAGGGAGGTGGGGCCTGGGGCAGCCAGAGCAGCCTCATCAGTGCACCATACAAACATTTTTCTGAGCCTATGACTGAAAAGGATAGGGAACCAGTCACCGCTGCTGCCCAAGTCTAGTCCTGGACTTGCAGCAACAGCAGCACTGCAGAAGCTGAAGCAGAAGGTGCGGCTAACAAGATCCAGAGAGACTCATAGCATCCAAGTCTGGGGGCACTGCTAAGCACACTGGTAATGAGAAGGGCCCCTAGGCTAGTTTCCTGCAGCGACCATGGGAAAGAGGGCTCAAGAGAGGAAAGACACTAGTCACAACATTGGACACCAGAGCAGACCAACTTAACTGGAAAGCAAAGGCATGGGACCTTCACATCCCACGCTGGCGAGGGAAACTAGATAAGGACAAGTGTCAGGGACTCTGCTGTCTCCTGCAGGTGACTCACTTATATATCGTCAATGGGAGATGAGTCCCCTCCCCGGCCCTCTCTGCTGGGAAGCACACAGCATGCTGGGCTGCGCCCTCCCAGGGCCCTTCCCTCCCCTCCCATCATCAAAGGGAGTCCCCAAGACATAGGAGAGCCTCATGGGAAGAGACCATGCCTTTCCCTTTCTACTGACTGTTGGAGGTGAAATAGGAACAAATGCAAAACTTCCAACTGTCTAAACCAATTCTGATTCTCAGGAAGTGCGGGTAGGGGGAAGAAGAGAAGGAAAGTGTGCCCGGCACAGAGAGGCATCCGGAACTGCCTGTCTCTGGCTGCTTCCATTGCCTCACCCTGTCCTATAGGGCCAGACAGCACCAGAGCATCCCTGGAAGGCTGGCGCTCACCAGATAGCAGTGGCAGACAATGGCCTGCAGACTCCTTAGGGGTCGGGGGACAGAGACCCTCTGTAGCCTCCAACCTGCTCAGTCCACACATTCTGAGCTCCCGGGCTCTACGCTGGGCAAAAATAGTGACAGCGTGGCTTCCCCATGCTCACCCCGGGCTCTGAGGCTTTTTGGTGGAACTGCTGCCATCTCCACCGCAGGCAGCCAAGGGGCTGCAATCTGTACAGAAGCCTCCTGAGCCTGGGCCGGAGAGGATGCCTCCTGGGAGAGGAGTTCCTGGCTTCCCTTTTTGTCTACCCAAATCATAGTGATGTCCACTTGTGAGATGCTACTTCCTATTGTCCCCACACCTACCTTTGTCCTCCACCACTCAAAAATAGGGCAACAGGAAGCTCCTCATCAGGACACCTGCACTCCCCTCCTGAAACCCTGGTGCTTTACTTCCTGTGTGTCTCTTCTGACACAGTGGCCCCAGGAGAGAACCCAGTCAAGGGGTCCAGGAGGGGACAGTGTGGCACCAGAGGGGCAGAGAACCATGCTGGGGATGGGGCTGGCACATGAGGCCTCTCTCTGCCTCTGACCCACTGTGGCCCCCATGCTTCTCCTCTCTGGCTCTTATCTGGACTAATGTGATCCTTCTGGTCCCTTCCAGTGTCTAAAAGTATTTTGCTATTTCTATGTCACATGTTTGTCATGAGGCCCGTGGCCCCACGGCTCCAACTTCAAAGTAAGCTCATGCTAGGGGGTGAAGGGCGCACGAGTAATGGGGAAAAAAATAAGAACCAAGATATATCACGTACAGGTACAAGCACCCAATGATAAATGGAAACGAACTGTATACCTAAAATGTACCAATAAAAGAACTAAAAAAAAATTTTTTTTAAAAGTAAGCTCATGCCACCTATAGTCAGTCTTCTGCATCCAACATGTAAGAAATCGGGATGTTTTATTGGATGTAACTTCAAATCTACTCCACATCACTGGAATATGGATGTTAGTTTAATTAATGGATGTTTCTGGTGCTTTTCTAAGATAATAAGTGCTATATGTTTATTCCTTCTACCTATCAATTTTGTTTTTAAAATAAATAAATACAAGCAGCAGGTGCCCATAATATTTAAAGCAGCCAATGTGTTCTAAGGTTTTTTTTCAAAGTCTGTAAGGAAGTCAGTGTTCCCAACTGCTAAAAAGATGAAGTTAAGGTAGCTGAAGAGGGATTTTCTGAGACTAAGTAATATAAATAACAAAAGCATATAAAGACAATTACTATTTCAGAATAATCAATAAGAACTATTGCTGATAATGTGTAATAAAAGGAATATTTACTTCAGATTTGGGAATTATGTATCATTCAGGCTTGATCATTTGTCATGTCCCCAAAACAGAACTGTGGGTGATTCAGTGACCCCCAAATGTTCTGATTTCTTATCAATCCTTACTGAAAATCACATTTAAAATTCCAACTAGGTAAAGAGGTACTCTGGTATTTTCCCACACGTGAACCACAGACAGCAGGTTCTTCAATGCCACACGAATAAATGTATGCCAAATAATGACCCAGAGAGACTGAATGATTTGGTTAAGGTCATATATCCAACTAGTGTCAAAGCTGAATCTGGGTCGTGACCACTTTCCTACCACCCGTCCAGGATAAGGCCCAATTGGCCATACACATGGAGCGCCCCAGTGTCCTATGGACAACTGTTACAGAACACAGCCTCATTCTCCAGAAAGTTCATGGTGCTCCCATCCCCACGGCTGACTCTGAGAATGATCTTCAGAAAAGTCACTTAGCTCAAAATTCGTCCTGGCCACTTAGCCCATCCATGATGTGGTATGAAATAAACATCAAATGTTAGGCTGAAAGGGGGAAGTGCTTGCAATGGCCACAGGCAGGCAGCACACGGCTAGTTAACAAGGAGTTTAAAGCTGGCTGAGCCACTTTAAAGAGACCCTCATGAAGCACAATTAAACCAACAAGACCTTGTGCAACATACAGAGTCATCAGGCCCCAGGCACACAGCTCATGACACAAAGCACATCAGAGGCCTCGAAGTTCTTTCTCAGAGCCACAGAATTTTATCCCTTGAGTGACACTTTTTAGGCATAGCCAAGGAAGGTACGCCACTGGAGGTACCTAGTTTATCTGTTCTTTTTCCTTCAAAAACCTTGTGATGGATTTACCAAACTATAAAAAAAAATCTGTTTTCCCATCATTTGTTTTCTCATTTTGGAAGAATAGCAAAAATATCATAAAAATCTCTTAACATGTCATACCATAACCCACTTTGCATTTGGTTCTTGTGGCTTCAATCAATCATTCACATATTCATTCAGTAATTATGTGTTGAGCTCTGACCATGTGCCAGGCACTGTTCCAGGACCAGGGACACAACGCTGAGTAGCGTGTCCTGTTTTACAGATGAGATGACTGTGGCTCACAGAAGCTCTGTGCTTTATCCGGAGTCACATTCCTCATAACTGCCAGGTCAAGAGCTAAATGCAGAACTTCTGGGTCCAAACGATGGCCTCCCATTCTTGGATCCTTCCATTGCTCTCTTATACACATTGTGCTGCTGCAAAAATCATCATCATAATAATGATGTTTTGTGCTCTGGGACTTGAAGTTTTATTATGAGTGGCCACCCAACAGTTCTGACCTCAGGCCAGGGCTCTGTTCTTGCTGAAGAGGTGGACATTCCCCCAAGCAATTAAACTAGACTGATCTTGTGACCTGGAGAATCCAGTGAAGGACGTTAGGTACAGAAAGGAACAAGACAGAGGCCCCTGCTCTGATGAATCTGCTAAACTGTGAATCAATCTGCAAGGAACCTAGGAATAACCAGTTTGTCTCAGAATACAGGTGTCCCTCTGAGCAATCCATCTTTGGGTCACTGCAGCTTTATTGCCACAATATGTCACTTTAATCACATCAAAGCCACACCTGACTGAGAGCGGCACCAATCCATGGAGAGAATTTCAATTTTACAGGGAAAGAGAACTAATGCTTTTGGAATACAGGACAACTTAAAGATGGTGTGCTTGGCCCAGTGCTTGGGAGGATTTAGAAAGTCAAAAGTGTAACATGGAGAGAGAGGAGACACAGCGCTGGAAGAATTCAAAATGCAGTTGGAAGGGAGAATGCCCTTCCGCGGGGGTCCTCAGCGCTGCGAATCTGTGCGGGTTCTGCCCTGCATAAGTTATGGTGTCTGGCCTCAGGACATTTTCTTCAGTAACAAAAAGGTACGCCCCCATGGCTGCCACTGAAGTAGGTCAAACACTCCATTTTCCTTGTATATTACCATCCTGTATCTTGAGTATTTGTGCACTTTCCCATATGCAAGGACCTCTTAGTACTTTGCTAGTCTAAAATATCTTTGAAAAAAAAATAAGCCCAGTCTGCTGACTTCTGTAGTATAAATACTTCCTCTGTGGCATATTTTAAGCTACCAATGGCATCAGGGAACACAGAGTTGGGCAGAGATGCATACAATCTGCTCTCCTTGGCTCCAGCACACTCAAAGACTCTATTCCTACCCAATTCCTGATATCAATGAAGCTTTAACAAGTTGCAGCTTCCTAGGAAATGGCTTCCAAAAGTCAGAACCAGCGCACCAAAGCCAATTAGTGTTGCTATATGAATGACTTAAGTACCTGACTCGACAGAATATTGATACTGTGGAATTTGCCTTCCCCATAAAATTAATGAAAGGACTTGCACATCCCCCTCAATCACTTACATGGTACCTGGCTCACTGTAGGATGGAGGGAGGAAAGAACGAAGGGATAAAGTGAATGTGAGAGAAGGTCTTTTCAAGAAAAGGATTTATAATTAGTTCAGTGAGCAATGAACAGAGAAGTGCTCAAGCAGACAGGACAATAGTGAGACTCCATTCTTTGGTTCTAACACTGACTGGAAGAAATAAATACTGTATTATAGTCCTGCTCTTAGATCTAGTGATTTGCAAGCCCACTGCTCTGAAACTATCTAAAAATTTCTAATATTATTAGCACTCACAGAAGCCAAGATCTCCTTAATTGTGTTACCTAAAAACCTTAAGAGTAGGTAAATATGCTTCCTGCTGACAAAATACAAAATGTTGAACATGCCCAATTATAGAGAAACACTGAAATGTTGAATAGGACAAAAAATAACCTATGACAGTTCTACAGTCACAGTGGGAGACACAGCCCATGTAACTAGGGAAGATAAAAATGAATGTCTTCCAGAAAAGCCTTAATCTTCTACAAGGTCTTTTCAATTAATTTAACCATGAATAATTTTCTTTGTAAATTACTTGAAATTTTCCATTTTAAATATCAGAAGGCTATTTTGCAAACCATTTCTATAATTGGATTAAGCCATGTACTTCAGCCTGAGAAATGAAATTCCCCTACATTCATGTCCTGGCATCACAAAGCCTGTCTCCTAAGCAGGATGACAGCAGGTATGTGAGGCAGCAGGGCAGTGAGGGGTGCTTCAGTCCAACCCCCTCCATGAAAAGCTCCTGCTTCCTAAAAAATAATGGCCAAATACCTTATCTGAACATTCCAGGAGCTTCAGAATAAACATCCATTCATACCCCCAAAAGGCCAGCAGGGCCATCAGCACTAGGGGAACAAGCTAGGGCACATCCGTCAGGAGAGGAGCCCAGACCCCAGGGAAAAGAGGAGCCCCCAGATCTGCAGACCAAAATGTGGGTGGAAGGTGGGACCATGGAGCCGGGGGTTCAGAACTGGGAGATGAATTGCAAAACAGGGTCTGGACTCAAAGAGGAGCGTCCAGAGACGGGTGGGGACACTGACCCACTGAGCGGCTGCGGCTCCCTGTTAAAGGGCAGCAGGGGACCCCACCAATGTGGCTGGGCTTGTTTAATGGAGAGGCAGGAGGCAAAGGAGATGGAAACTTAATCACCAGCCTTGTCCACAAAAGGAACCACACTGTAACCTGTGCTACCTATAACCTGTGCCATTGCACATGCCAGTCTCTCTGCCTCCTGCTTTTTACACCTAGTAAACTCCCATTCTCCCCACAATGTGCCCCTGGCATTCCTCAGGGTCCCCTCAGAGTTCCTTCCTCAGTGAAATTCTCCCCTTCATCATGTCATCTATGGGACTTCTTTCCTTGTCCTCACCTCATCCCTGATACTCCAGAAGCATATTTGGTATGCAGTGATTCAGTGGGTAATTAATAAGTATTTGCTGAGTGAATGAAAAAATTAAGAATAGTTTATACTAAGTTCAATAGTCAGATCTGGTTAGATGATCTACTGATACTGGCAGTAGTTTTAAAAATGAGGCCAAAGGGCCAGGAGAAATGTTTGACTTTTCCCCTGAGTCATTTAAAATAAGGAGGTGAGGGGAAGAGGGGAGGGGAGAGAAAGAGGAGAGGAGAGGAGAGGACAGGAGAAAGTGCCCTGGCTAGACACATCCTTGTCTCGTATTCTTGAAATAATAACAGGAGAATGAACATTTTCAGCTTCAAAAGGAATGAATTTTATCAGTAGCAGATTCTTTGGTAGCAGATTCAAAAGCTTAACTGACATTAAACAATGATTACAGTTTTTGCCCAATAGAGCACTGAAGTGCTCCAGAGAACCTACAGAATAGGCAGTCTTGCAGAGCTTTTCATGTTGAGGATCAGACTTACCTTACAGAGTTCAAGGTCCACCTTGAAGATTCTAACACAGTAGCTTTGGGTCAAGGCATGTGTATTTTTCTAAGACTTCTTCCCAAATAATTCTAATAGTGAACAATTTTTAGAAAGCACTGAATGGTTGGTTCTAGGCTACTGATAATGTGACCTGTGACATACATGACATTACTGGAGAGGGGCTGCTCTCTGACTGGTAGATCATAGACGGTCTAATAAATAACAGTTAAAGCTACTAGATACATACTTGGGTTATCTCATTTGTTCCTCCCAACAAGCATAAAAAGCCAAGGTCTAGTTACAGAAAGTAGCCCCTGCACAGTTACAGTAACTGAAGCTTAGAGAGGTTAAGTTACTTAAACAGCCACTGGGTGACTGGGGTGGATTCAAAATCCATTTTAGAGGCTGTGTTCCTAACAACTGTGCAATCCTCCCTCTTTACTGAAGTATGTGAACAGAAAGCAACTCCTTAAAACACAATGTCTTCAAGAATACCTAAAGTTGCCTTAACCCATAATTCCTTCAGGCCATTTTGTTCAGTGACTTATAGGAACTGATTTTTCTGATAAATTTGGGCATCTCTGTATCTCACTAATTGCATTTTGTTCATCTTTGTATCCCACATCTATAGCACAGTGCTTAGGCCACAGTACATATATTCTCAACAACTATTTGATGAATTTAAAAATAACAATTTCATTTGGTGATTGTAATAAATACTATGTGACTACAGCCACTTCACCCAATCAAATTAGATGGAGCTACAGCACTTCACCTAATCACACCTCTTTGTGCTCTACTGCCAGTGCTGAGATGGACTGAAAAAATGTGATTTCACTATCAAAGGAAAAGCCATGGTCAGGAACTTAGTTCATGCTTGTTGAGTGAGTTTTCAAGGTGGTGCACACTTTCTGATTCCATGACTGTGCCTCAGACAAACCTGGAAGGATCTGGAGTCCCCGTGAAGTAGTGAATGCATGGAGAGCTTCCATTCTGAGGCAGGACAGACACTATACTGGCTGTGGTGAGGAAAGATTCAGAGTCTATGCAGATTCCACTGGCTTTGTCCCTTAAGATGTTAATCATCGTCTGGACAGTGATGGTTTCTAAAAGAGGAGAGATGGAAAGAGCACATGTAACTGTGGCAGGCTAACCCAAACCTATCCACTTCTTTCTCCTTTTACTAATAAGCCACCTACAGTTACAGCTAAGAGCATAATTATTCATCTACAGAATATATTTCCCAGGTTCCCTTGTGCCTAGTTCTGGCCATGTGGCAAGTTCTGACCAATGGGAAGTGAGCAGAAATGCAGTGTTCAAATTCCTGGTCACACCTACGCCCTTACCCTTCACTTTTCTTTTCCCCTCTCCTGCTATCTGGGAGACTAAAAATGGAAGACTTGTGTTGAACAGAGTGCCCCCGACCCTAGTATCTTATTTGTCACAAAAACAGGGTTGTTCTTCCTGTAGTATTCTGTAGTCTGGACTCTGCCGATGGTGTTCTTCTTGTGTTGTTCTGTATGTTCTTCCATCCTCTGTATCTCCTGTAAATCTGTAGCTAGATTCAAAAGCTTCATCAGATTTCAGGCTGATATTTTGGCAAGACTATCTAATGACCTTTATCAAGCTAGTTCTTTTAATTAAAAACTTCCAGCTTTTTTAAGTTCCCATTTAAAAATGAATACTGTCTTACCTTCCCATCCAGAATATATTACTGAAGTTCTACAGCAAAAGTTCTAACAAATTCTTCTAGATTAAGGACCAGGAAACTTTTTCTTAAAGAACCAGATAGGAAGCATTTTAGGTTTACGGGCCATATTGTTTCCATTATAACTTGCCTGTTGCAACTGCTCAACTCTGCCACCATAGCATGAAGCATAAACAATACATAAATAAAAAGGAGTACTATAGTTTGGATTCTGAATGTTCCCAAAGGCTTGTGTGTTAAAGGCCTAGTCACCAGCCTGTTGCTCTACTGGGAGGTGGTAGAGCCTTCAGGAGATGGGGCCTAGTGGAAGGAATTTAAATCACTGGGGGCATGTCCTTAAAGGGTATATTGGGACAGCAAGGGTCTCTCTCTCTCCTCTTCTCCCCTCCTCTTACCTCTCTTTTCTCCGTCACTGGATGAGCAGTTTCCTTACCACTTGTTCCCTGCCTCACCCAGACCCAATAGCAAGGAGCCAACTGACCATGAACTGAAACCTCTGAAATCATGAGCCAAAATAAACCTTTCTTCCTTATAAGTTGTTTATGTCAGGTATTTTGTCACAGTGACACAAAGCGGAGAAACTGCGTGGTTGTTTTCCAATTAAATTGTATTTACAAAACAGACAGCTGCTACAGGACACAGTGTACTGACACCAGTTCTAAATGGTCAGAAGTTTGGCTTACTAAATATATGTACAACTAAAAAATGTTAGAGATTTTTGGAAGAGTTTATACTCAGGTACAAAAGTAACAAACCATCTAGTCAACACAGTTACTTAAATATGAATTCTGACTTTTAAATCACTAACTGGGTGGCAGATAGAATGTTTGTAAAGAGAATTCAACACAACAGTTCGACCCAACAAACATTCATGGAACAAAGGACCATGCTGGATAACAAGAGGAACCTCAGATGAACAAAAGATAACACACCTACCATTATGGTCCAGCAAGATAATGAGAATAGGCAAGACAAAAAAATAGAGGAAAAAACTAAGTCAAATACGTCTATAATGAACCCTGAGGAGGGCTACAATAAATATCACAAAACACAACAGAACAACATTGATGATTAAAGGGGAAATGGCATCAATAGAAACAAGAAACCTCCATGGATGAGGAAGCACTATATAAAAATAAGCACAAGGTGCCCTCTTGCCAGCGTACCAGGGACTTTGGGTACAAGTTGGTTATTACAGTCTATTCTCTACTCTTCCTCTTTGTTCAACCTCCGAAGTTCAGACCAGTTTTCTGGAATTGCCATAAGACAACAGGTATAAGAAGGAAAATCATAAGGGTCAAACTCACCTTCTTGCTTTTCTAAGCTCTCTATGCCTGCACAGCAGTCCAGGTGGTCATCAGCTGGAGAAAAAACGCGGGAAAAATTGAACTCGTCCTCTCCTGTCCACCAGCCTTGACTCTGAGCATAAGTTCTGAGTTCAGGATGCTCTGCATCCATCTTAGTGGTGAGTGAAAGTTGATTGCAAATCCACTTTACTCCCTCTGTAGAAAGTGCAAAGCCCAGTTAGTGGAAAATATATTTATGGAAACTTAATCAAGAGAATCCTTTCCCTGAAATCCTGACTGTACAGAGAGGAATCAGTTCAAGTTTTGAAGAAACTTTTGAAGAAACTGTTTGGTCCTCTTTCCAAAAGACCTCTTAAAAAGTTTGAGCAGTCTTGACCAGGTATCTTCACATTTTAAATGAGCAACAACTTTACTGATCATGGTTTTACAATCAAAAGGAGATATGGGATGTTTTTCATTTTACCTAGATAAACTCCAAGTATGTAATATTTAAAAGAAAGGAGAAAAGTTCTTTGAAAGAGATACTGCACTAATAAGACAGAAATTTGTAAGAAACTGCTCCATGGGAATGCTCTGTAGCATCCATAGGCTCCTTGTTCCCACCTTGACTCATTTACACCTGGAAGAACACTTTATACCATTCTCTGCCCAAACATACATGATTTTCTAAAAAATACAAATCAGTTGCTTCTTCATTCAGCTTTTTTTTTCCAGTTCTCAATATTTAGAAAAACACAGTGGAAATGAGAATGAATTGCTTGAAAATAACAGACTGTACTTGCAAATGTATGTGTCTGGGTGTGTCCGTGTGTGTGCATGAAAAATATATGAGAATTTTTTTTCTCATAAAAACAGAAGTATAGCTAAAGAGACACAGAATCAGAAATGTCTGCATTCTGGGTATGCTCTGCTTCGATGATAGAGTTAGGACAGAAATCCTCATCAGCTGGCAGGCTTGCTATGTGTTCTATAAAACATGAGCTCAGATACAGAGGATGATTTGGCCTTCAAACTTCAAGATGCTGTCCAGAGTGAAAACAGCATCCTAGCAGTGCTAGCTCAAAAAGGCCATTCATAGCTGCTGCTCCAAGGGAGTATGCTGAGAGCTTCCAGGTTCTTGGAGAATAAAGTGAGAAAGAGAAACAGAGGTCAAACTACAAGATGCAATGAAGCCATTCCTGCCAGAAATCTAGTCCCTAGAGGCAGGATCAGTGTTGTACTAAGTTCTCCCAGGATGTTTTGCTCTGATTTATACTTCTAAAAGTGGCTGATAGGCATAGTCCTTTACTGTTCATTTTTTCATAGGGCACTACAAAATTAAAATTATAAACAATTCAAAAATTAAAAAAAGTTTTGGCCTAAGCAAGTGATTTTGACATCATTCATACTAAGCTAATAAAAAAGAAAATAAAGGTTTATGTAAACAACTCCACAGATGTTATTTTCCTAAAGGGTTGATTTATAGTAGACATTTGCTTTCAAGAATCAGCATTTAGAGGACAGAGTGCATTAAACCCTACTGCCATCAATCACATGGGCTACTGGGATCAGAGGACATGAAATCAATGAGTCCAAGAAATGGCTGAGATTTTTTATTTCAATGTTTAGTGAAAGACAACATTTATTTTGTGGAGATAGATTTTTTAAACTATTATGATGAAGGGAAGCTCAGCTTTTGAAATGCAGTTATAGATCAAAAAGTCTTAGATTCTACTCAAAAGCAATCTGAGTGCTTTGGAGCATGACCCACAGGCCTTCTTGATGGAGCCATTCAGCATTTAGAATTCATCTTAGGAGGGCGTATAAAGGAGTTTTAAGTTCCTGCATTGCAAGGGAGCTAGAGACCTGAAGGGCCATCCTGGCTGCCTCTGTTCTGTAAACACCACAAGGCAAGGCTCTGCTAGATGTATGTGGGGCAGACAAGGGTGGGAAAACTCCCCGTGGCTGCTCATTTTGCACCCTTGTGAAAATGAAAAGCCACTCCCTCTTCCAAACAGACACAGCCTTCACACAGCTTGACCAGGAAATCACAGACCAGATTTCTCTGCCTCAGTGAGGCAACTTTGTATAGGGTTTAACGTAGCCATCGAACTGATCACTGGGCTTTGTGCACAGGCAACAGGCTTCACTCCCAGTGAATGCACCAAATCTGCTTCTAACTCAGGTCAAATATGGTTCCAACACCCATAAGGTAGGGACAGCAAACAAGTTTCACTCTTCTGATTAACAGGAAGGGATTGCATAGTAAAACGTAGGCCAAGTATAAGCCCAACAAGAGAAGAATGCAGTGATCTACTAGCCATATCTGCCACAGGTACCGGAGAGGGAAAGGCAGCACATATGTCATGTATATATCATCCTGTCCTAAGGAATATAAGAGGAGGGTCCGGGCCAATTCTCTCTTACACCTATTTAGTCCTCTTTGAGGCCCTTTTCCCATTCCGGATCCCATTCCATCCAGAATATGAAGGCGCTGAGGTGATACTCTGAGACCACCATGCCCAGCTCTAACCTTTCCTTCCCAGTGTCTTTGAAGCAAGATGCTGCACCAGCCACACAAGAGGAATTCTATGGACACTAAATCCTGTATGGATGACCAAGTTCTCTGCTTTTCTAGGAACATTATCTCACAGAGAAATGGCCTGGTTGGCCCAGCGAGGCATTAAACAGTGCTCACACAGATCCAATCTCCTATTTCACAGCCAGATTCCGGCACAGGGCTGGAGGGTGACAACAGACAACTCCCTGTTGAAGAGATTCATAATAGTATGAATAAAGAACCACCACTTGGCCAACTAACAGTGTAATGGTTTGGATCATGGAGCTGCTGGTGATCAGAACTGAGTCCTTCGCAGGAAGCAAACAGAAAATATGAAGTGTTTACTGCATCATTCCCCTGGGTCAACATTCCTTCACTCTGAATTTGGAGACTTCAGGCTCACATGTGGACAGAGATGTCCACGAGTAAGAGATATGCCTGAGCATGGAAAGCCAGCATGGACAGGGTCAGCAATCAGCATAAGTCTGGGTCTGGTGCCATGTGTCCAGCCAAATTTCAACCTTGAAACTGTGCTCACAACTCTTCCATCTGCACACACGCTCACCTGTGATTTTCTCAGCAGCCCAGTACTTCCCTACAGTCTCAAGCACCCAGGCTTCTTCACGATCTACAATCAGGTATGCGCTTTGAAAACTTTGGCAGGAGCTGGCATCTTCATAATAATTCCCACCTTGTCCATATTCTTCCAACAAGGAGACGATGACATCTAAGGCTTCTTTAGCTGTTGTTCCTCTTTCTAAACCAAGCCTACAGTGAAGAAAAGTGCACCTCAGTCATCTCATACCACTTGATTATTACCACAGCAACCAAAGGCTGGGGCAAGGCTGAGTCCTAAAGCACACCAACAAGTATAAGCATGTTAAATATGCAGGCTAATAAGCAAACTGATCAGCAATACTTTAACTGAGAATACCTGTCTCATGTATTCAGTTACCAATCATGGGAATGTTTAACATGCTTGGAAATCTTTCTGGGAAGAGAGAAGAATGGGGAGCCACTGGTCTCTCTCTCTAGAAAAGAAGGTCAGCCCCTCCTTTCTCTGCTGACTCTGTCTCCTAAGGGCCTGCAGCCCTGCTCTAGCCCTTAGTGAGACCCCTTTACCGTGGCACATGCCCCTTCCTGACTGTAGCCTAAGCATAAGGAAATCTCTGCCCTGCCCAGCCTTGGTCGCCACTATACTACAGCAGGTATTTTAGTTTCTGCTATGACCTGTTTGTGTCCACTGAAAATTCATGTGTTTATATTCTGACACTCAATATGATGGTATTAGGAAGTGGGGCCTTTGGGAGGTGATTAAATCCTGCCTTGCTCTATCCACCATCTGGGGACACAGCAAGAAGGCACCACCCATGAATTGGAAAATGGTCCCACAGCAGAATGTTGGCACCTGGATCTTGGACTTCCCAGAACTATAAGCAATTTATTTATGGTGTTTACAAGCCATCCTTTCAATGGTGTTTTGTTAAAGCCGCCTGAATAGACCAAGACAATTAGTAATAAAAGTGTCTGCTTACTGACCATTGTCCTGTATGCATATAATTTGCTCAGAGATCTCATTAGGAATGGGTGGCTGATTAGGACATGATCAATCCCTTTTCTACATATTTCCCTCCTACCCATCAGCCTACATCTATTGGTGTGGTTAACAGTGTCAGTTATCAAAAGAACATAAATTCCTTCTGAAGTGAGACATCCATCTTCCCTGGCCCTTCTAATTACTAAACTCTTTAAGTAAGACATAGATCACCGCCCTTTAAGTGACACTAGGCAGATTACATAATATATTTGAACTTCAGTTTTATGCCACCTATACAATAAGTGCCTATCTCATTGAGCTGCTATGAGAATGGGTTTTATGAGATAATGAACATGAGACTATGTAGCAATACTGCCTAGAATCAAGAAAGTGTGGTAAGGACATTTCAGAAGGTAGAACATTGTGGCAGAGAAATACATGATTCAGAGATAAAGAGACCCAGTTTCTAGCTCTGCTTCTGCCATTCACTGGCAGTACAGTCTTAAGTAATGTGATCTTCCAACTTTTTATTTCCTTCTTGATAAAGTAAAATGATACTACTCCCCTCTTGGACTGATATGAAAGAGGATGGCACATGATATATACTCAGTTCATTTACTCATCTGTTCATTCAAATTATAATTCTACTGGCAAGAGCTAAAGTCTTAACACAAGGACAACAGCTACTGAGATGGTGGTATAAGCCTCTTCCTGGTGAATTTTTCAACAGTTTAATACTTCCTGATTCCATTGTGCTGCCATAGAGAAGAAAAGCTAATGTAACTACAACCCATGGATTTAGTCTTGTAACAGGCTTATTATTTTAATCAGATCACTATGTACAAATCCATTTGACATTTTTCATTTTTAGCTTATTTAGGAAGACTTGGTTACAAAGCTGGGATTTACAAAGTCCAGTTTACAAAGATCCTAAGGCCTTAGAAGAGTGATAAAAGAATAAACCAGATGCTTTTGTGTCCCATGAGCATGATAACTGGGTTTCCACACTGCTGTCTGAGATATGCCCCTTCAAATCTTGTTACAATGTTGGCACATTACTCATCTACACGAAAAAAGCAATGAATCCATCGAAAGATCAAATTAAGTAGACTTTTCCCTTGGCAATGTAATCTTCTCCAAGGGGTAGTAGCAAAAGCAAGTGCTCATACTATCTTGAGTATAAGGACCAAACAAGTATGCCGTGAGACATCTCATCACCCAGAGCTGTGCACTCTGCAGGGGCCCTAGTCACAAGAACTCATAAACACATTCCAGGCAGACCCCTGCCCGAGTCCCTTCACACAGCACTAGGTGACCCCTATGAACATGTGCTAGGAACACATGGATACCTGGCCTTGTCCAACAGCCAGATTTGTGGAGTTTGAGATTTCTCTTTTGTAGCTTCCAATTCTCTCTCCTGATGTTGCCTGCTTATGTTCCACTGAGACCGCTATTACACTTGGCTTCCACCCTGATCTGGATGTCCTCCAGACAGAGTAGGACCTCAGCACCCACCTAGAGGCATAATTCTGACTGATATGGGTAAAAGATACTCCTTTCACCCACATGACTCTGACTGATCTGAGTAAAAGATACTCACACCTGGTCTCCTGGCCACAAGGTGAGGCCAGGCTTGCCCTCTCCAAAGTACACAGGTCATGAAGAACAGCATAGTTATACACTCTCCACCTGAGACTGAGAGATGGAGCTGAAGCCCACCACACTGGGCATAGAGGAGATGCCAGAGAGCAGCCTATGGTCAACCAATCATATGGTTACACATGTCACCCAACAACTAAAAGATGTTCCCAACTTTCTCACCTCCCAGATGGGGTCAATGTGTATGATTCCAATTGCAAACAACTCCTTGATAGCCCCAGTGGTTAACTTCACTTTGCCTTAGCCCAAGCAGAACCAGGACACAGAAAGAATGAAATTAAATGGGCCAAGGTTACAGTCTCACTCTGACATCTACTTTCTGTGCAGTTCAAACCCTTCCAAGGTGTGTGCTTTGTCTGGGTTGTTCTGGATCTGAGCCTCAGAAGTTCCTGAATTCAATTCTTAGTTTTACAGGAACATCTTTATTTGGGTCCGTGACCTTCTCACAGGTATGTCAAGCTCATCCTGCCAGTTCCTGAAAGGTCAATACATCTCACTAAAGAAGATGAGAAATATCTGCATCTTTGTTTAAGAACTCTGATTGCTGGACTAGAAGGATCCGATCCCTTTTTATCCCATATAAATTAAACTAAGTTAGAACTCAATTTTCTGTGGACATATAATTGTTGCCCTGGAGAAAATGAAAATACTCACTACCCCTCCCCTTAATGGGATGGGCCTGGTGTCTTATAGGATTCAGCTAGAAACTACTTTCCTTCCTCCCCACAATCGATAAGTCTACAAGGCCTCTCTGAGTTTATGGCCTTTTGGATATTAGAAGATTCCCAGCCTTTAGTCAGAGGGTTGGAAGCAGGAAGGTAATGTTGTGAACTGGTATGTGTGTCCCCCTCAGAATTTCTATGTTGAAACCTAATCCCCAGTGTGATGATATTTAGAGGTGGGGCCTTTGAGAGGTCATGAAGAACTAGGTCATGAGGATGGAGCCCTCAGAATGGGATTAAAGCTCCTATAAGAAAAGAGACTGGAGGTAGGCATGGCAGCTCCAGCGCTCTCAAGGCTGAGGCAAGAGAGTCTCAGGGAGTTCAAGGCCAGCCTGGACTACATACCAAGACCCTTTCTCAAAAACAACAACAACAACAAAAAGAGCCCACCCTCTTCTGCTGTTTGCCATGTAGGTCACGAACAGCAGTCGGCCATCTACAAACAAGGACATGAGTCCTCACCAGACACCAGATCTGCTAGTATCCTGACCTTGAACTTCCCAGCTTCCAGAACTGAGAAATAAATGTGTTATTTAAACCCCACAGTCTACAGCATATTTGTTATAGCAGCCAAAACAGACAAAGAAAGGTGGTAAGTAGATGTTAAAGTGATAAGCAGATGAAGTAGATAGTTTGAGATGTTAAAATTATGGAATTATTGTTTTCTACTGAGGTCCTGCACTAAACCCCAATAGATCTGAAGAGTCCAAAAGAGTCACTCATGCTAAATGCCCCATAATCAAAGTGAAGCATTAAGGAAGGAGAGAAATCCCACAACACACTAGTTTAAAAAAAAATCCAGTCTACCTTGGTCAACACAATAAGGAAGTCCCTCCTGTTTTAAATCAGCAAAAAAGTAACATGAAGTGACCTAATGGTAACCAATTGATTTTTTCCTATTGTTCTGTTCCATTTTTTACACTTTATAAAATCCGCTATTCCACTTTTACCTGGTGGGAGGTCTTATTCTATTTTGTAGAATTAAGGCTGCAATGATTCATGCAACATGAATGAATGCCAACTCGACCTCCTAAAACTAAATGTATTGTCACTTTGTCTTTTGACAGGGTGAAGAATGTATGAAGCTTTTTGATTCATCTCCATCTCTCGGAGTCTTGAGCTTCCTGTCTCATTAAGAGAAATAAAGTGCAATTTAATATGGAGTGTGCTGCCTCCTACCCGGGGTCAGCAGGTCTGGTATCCCTGGCTCACCACCTTCTAGCCCTGAGCCTTTGGCAAGTCTCTTAGTCTCCCTAAGCTCCAGATTCTTCGTCCACCAAATGTAGGTAAGCACATCTACTTCATTAGGTTGTTGTGAGAATTAAATGAAATAATACATGGAAAGCACGTCTTCCCAGAATGTTAGGAAAATCCTAACTGTACATGTACACGAAAATCCTCCTACAGACATTCACCCAGGCCTCCTTTCCAACCACCTGTGAGTTCTCACATTCACTAACAATCTAAAGACAAACTGCAGACTTTCCAAATTTTCACACTGGCTTCTTTTCAAGGACTGCTGTGTTTTTTAATGTGCTGAGGGACTGACGGGATATGTTCAGAATTATAAGATGTTCTGAAATGCTGAGATTGCCTGGGTTCTAGTACTAATATTAAATACAAATGGGAGCAGCAAAAATGAGTCTACAGCAGTTATGCAAAAGAAAGAAGAAACAGAGAAAACTGAAAGAGTGTGGTGACCTGCTAACCTGGTGCCAGCTTGGGAGGAGAGGCTTACATTTCAGGGATTGCGAGCCAGTTGTTAAGGCAGTGGTAACTTGAAATCTGTCATGGCGGGAGGATTTACACCACAGGAATTGGAAAAGGCCACAAATCAGGGCTGCCTACCCCCACCCCGAGCTGAGTATTAGACATTTCCAGCATACCACTGACCAGTGGGTTCCCAAAGTTCTTGGTCCTCACATATATGAAGGACATACTATCATGACAAACAGACCTTGGATTGTAAGAGACACCTTGACATGGAGAAAATAAATTTCCATCTTTTCATCAGCTCCTGTCAGCAGCTTGATACTTGAAACCAATCTCATAAAAGATGTGAAAATGTCTGTATGTGTTCATATGCCTTTTCTTGGCAAAAATAATAAATAAATAAATAAATAAATAAAGGACTAGTTGTCAGACTCTCACAGAAATCTGTGGATCAAAAGCAACAAAACAAAACAAAAACAAGTAACAGGCAAAACTTGGCTTTTACCATCAATGTCACTGGAAATGTCTGTATGTGTTCATATGCCTTTTCTTGGCAAAAATAATAAATAAATAAATAAATAAATAAATAAAGGACTAGTTGTCAGACTCTCACAGAAATCTGTGGATCAAAAGCAACAAAACAAAACAAAAACAAGTAACAGGCAAAACTTGGCTTTTACCATCAATGTCACTGGAAATGAATTTTAAAAGCAGTATTGCCTAAGGCTTGCATTCCCCCAAACCTCTAAGAAGCACACAGTTTGTACCTCAGTTTTAAGGTCGGTGCCTATTGAAATGCTACTGTCATTCACTGATGTCTCTTTGAACCACAATTGGATTGGGCATGTGGATGGAAAGCACAAAGGACTGGGGTACCTACGGGGAAAATGCTGTGTTCTCTTAATCATCAGCCACAGTCCAAAACAGAACTGAAGTAGAGTGTAAAACACAAATAGTCCACTCTCACAGGAGGTGTCCAGGAAAGAAGTATGTCCTATCAGGACAAGCAAGGGCAGAGGAAATAGAGGTACCTCTGACAGCAATACCTAGAGAGATTCTGAGCCCAAAATTGAGGGAATGTAACCAACCCACAACAAGTTCCTCCTACAGCAATGTTTCTCAGCCTGTTTTGTGCATCAGTCACCTTAGGAGGGCTGGTTAAAACAGACTGCCAGATTCAGTTAAGGGTGGAGTAGGGCCTGAGAATCTGCATTTCTAACAGGCTCCCATACCACACCTGGCTTCACAACCACTGCTCCAGAACCTAGCTGCTCAAACTAAGGTTTGTAGAGCTTCCTGGAAATTAATACAGGAGGACTTCTGGATCAGGAGTCACCTGTAGGACTTGGTTGATATGAAATGGCCTCTTACATTCTGACAAGGCTTGGGTGAACTAATTATAGCTGGTTTAAAGCTGAAACCAGAAGTTCAACACCAAGATCCACTGAAGGTACAGATACCTGCACCCCACCTCCCTCCAGGAATCTGCCCATGATGGGTCCTCTTCACACCCTTTTCATTGCAAGAGCCAGACAGGCTAGCAAGGGAAGGAGATGGACTTAAATAACTAAGGTTCAGTTCTCACCCTGTCATCTCCTCTGGACAGCTGTTATTATTCCAGACCTTGCTATCTATCACAATACCAATTATGTGCCAAATATACCTTCTCTGTCTACATCCTTCAGTCTTGAAGATCCAAGTTAAACACACCTCCCCCCACCATCCCAAATGTGCTTAGTCCATGGCAAACTGAACGTCCAGCTGTGTTCACTGAGGGCCGCAGCCTGGAACTCTGACATTCATGTGACATCACATCTCCTCACTTTGAGTCTCCTCTCCCCTACTGTCATCCCTTAAATTGTCCATAAAATCTGCACTGCTCAATTTTCTGTCTTTTCCCTACAACAAGACTAAAATCCCTTTGAAGTTTTGAGCTTCTTCACATGCCACAGAGTCCAGCAAAAAGTAGATATTCATGAAAACCCTGTTGCATTATTGGTTGATAATCTTGAAAAGATAAACTGAGGGTTGGAAGAATAAAAGCATTTTCTTCCATCATCCTTTAGAAGTTAACTGTCAAAACGGTGATTTTTGTCATTCTGTAAGTCCCAGACTGAAAATACAATAACTCAGAACACAGGTTATAAATGAGGAATTTCAAAGGCATATTTTTCATTACTAATTCTTCATTTTCAGAATTTCTATTAAGTACAAAGGTAAAAAAAATACTGGAAGAGCAATCAAAACCTAAATTGAAAACTTGTTATTCTTATATTCTATTAGTTAAGAAAAAACTGGGTGTAAATAAGAGAATTTTTCTGCCTTTTTCCCAGTTCAGTAATATTGCAGTGAGTATATACACTTGATCTTAGCCAAAAGGCCGAGAAGCGATTGCACCAAGTGTATAAAAACCAGGAATAACAAGGCATAAAGGCAACATGCTACCTAACTGGGGTCCCTACCAAAGCCATGCATTGAGTGACAGAAGTAGTGACCACACAGGCTTCTGTCTAAATGTGTAATTTCCCCCTATGAAACCAACGTTAAACCTTCAATTCCTTTTCAAGGAAGTTCATTTTGGAAGGGTGCTCAGAAGCCATCCAACTGAAAACAGAAGGGAAGCTGGCCCAGGGAAGGGGTGTAACTTGGTATACCCACACTAAGAGCCAACACCTCAGCTCAGCCTGATCTTCATTCAGCTATGTTAGGATTCCATTTCACTGCTTCAGTTTTTTTTTAAAGTCATTTCAGAAGGTTGTGTTGTTCTACTCCACCCTCTACTTTAGTCCTTCACTCAAAATTCAGTTATTCATCACCTATTACGCACCAAGCACACAGTTCCCAGGGCTTGTGGTACAAGTACACAAACAGATGAAGATCCCTGCCTCATCCAGCTTCTACATGCTGCTCTTTCTGGTTCACGGTGTCTGGGAGGGGAAGGAAAGGAGGAAAAGACAACTGAGATGCAGCAGGGGAAGAAAGTGATCTCTGCTCTTTTATTTATTTTACATATTTGTATATATCTTTTTCATACTTCAAATACCATAAAGTTCACCTATTTAAACTATACAGTTCAGTGAGTTTTAGCCTATTCACAAAGTTGTGCAACCATCACCATGATCTGAATTTAAACTATTTCAATACCCTAAAAAGAAATCCCATACCCATTAGGAATCACTGTTCATTCCCTCATTCCCACCCCAACTTCAGGAACTATTAATTTACTTTCTGCCTCTATGGATTTGCATATTCTGTATATTTCATACAGTGTGTGACTTTTGTGTCTGGTTTCTTTCACTTATGTTTTCAAGGTCATCATGTTGTAGCACATAGCAGTATTCAATTTTTGCTGCTGAATAATATTCCACTGTAATCTATTCTTTTTTTCCCATCAAAAGGTATACATCATCTTTAGGAGAACTACATTACAAAATATGAGGTTTAGGAAGAAATAAATCTTGTACCCATTTTCAACATATTCTGGGCAGTTATTTTTTTGAAAATCACCACGTAGTACCTGACCAGATCCATCCCCAGTAAGGCTTCTGTCTCAGCGGCCGGTTCTCTGGCATTGATGGCTTCATTGGCTATGCACACTCCATGTTCGTTAGCTCCCATTTCTGCCCCCCACAGCCAGGCAGGTCTGCTTATCACTATGGCATGGGTCCTCAGAACTTGGTCGATTGAAATATAAGTGCACTAAAAAGTGAAGACAGAGAAGAAAGAACCATGATCTATCAGGTACCACTGAAGTATCTACCTTGGTACACACACAGGACCATCATACAGAGTTACAGAGCCAAAAAATAAAAGACCTTGGGAATATCCAGCTTTTAAAAAATCTTAATGCAGCTCAAAGGCTTCCATGGTGAGTTTCAGTCCCTCTGATTCAAGCTAACCTATTCAGGTACTTCCGTATATGTGATCCCTTTGAACCAGGTATTCAGCACATGATTGTCCAGAACACTTTGTGGCTGGTCATCTCCATAGTCACAGACTCCCACCAGCAATTCAAAGGAGCACAGCTGTTTATTCTCATTTGCAAAAATCCTCCCAGATCAGTGGTTTTTGAAACTTTTTTGAAGTTACAGAGCTCTTGCTTCAAGAGAAACCTTACCCAGAAGCCTGACATAGAAAGAAGATAAAAGGGAGAATGTTTTGTCTAAAGAAGAGAGGTCCCCTGAGCCCCTGCAGTGATCTTTATGGCTTCGTGGAACTTATGTGACTGCAGTAGAGGTAGAGAATGGGAAATGATGATAATATTTACACCAAACTACTGCATTACAGTGTAAACTCTCTTGTGAATAGTGCTTTCCTGTCTGTCCCATTTGGATTTTCACTCTAAGGCAGCAAGGGAGGCACATAAGGAAACTGTCCCAGGAAAGTATATTTCTAGTTGCTGTGGCTGCTGCAGTACAAACCACTTAGGTATGTATGTCTTATCTTCCTCAGGCTGCTGTGTCTTTACCTGAAAAAGGAAGGAGCTACTTTAGAACAAACTATTTCTTCAAAGTATTTTTAATCTCAGAACCCTTCCTTCATACAAACTCTTGCATAGAAGCATAAACAATAAAACTGGTCAGTGAGTTGGGACAAAATGAGGAAGAGCTTAGGGACCAGAGATAACCACTTTAGTCCTGGCCTGCTTGTCCTTCTTTTCTCCCTCCCCACATGGTGGCCCGAGGGGACTGGGCAGGAGTGCTCGGTGACCCTGGAACCTTCCTGACTCTCACATCCCATAAGCATGTGGCACACACTTTTTTTTTTTTGGTATCAGGGATCAAACTTGGGACCTTGCGCTTTCGAGGCAGGTGGCAGAACCACTGAGCTAAATCCCTGGCCTTGGCACACACATTTTGATCTTTGCTTTTGTATTTGTTTTCAGTAATAGGGATTGAACCCAAGGCCTTTGCACTAAGCTACATTTCCAGACCTTTCTATTTTGAAAGACAGTCTTGCTAAGTTGCTAAATTACTCAGGCTGTGCTTGAACTTATAATCTTACTGCCTCAGTCTCCTGGGTAGCTGCTATTAGCAATGTGCACCATGCCCAGTCCTTTTTAAAAACTTCAATACAGCTATATCAACTGAATACAGCTCACAAAGTTACTCTGCATTGATTCCCCATAATTTCTAAACCTCAGGTAAGAACTGAAATGCCATGTAGCACAGGTACTTGTTGGTCAGGTGACCTCTTCACCCACACAATTAACATCAGGTGTTGCTCTGATAGGTACTGTGATACCACTTAATACACATGGAAAACTGTAGGCCAATTAAGTCTGGAGGCTGCCAAGGAACTCTTGAAGGGTTTTTTTGTGGCAAGTTGATAATAAAATACTCTTGAAGTGTTTTCCCTTATTCAGTTGCCAAAAATTATTTATTTTTAAAAGTGATTCTTGTAAAGAAAAAAGCTTGCCAAAGTAGTAATCATAACTCTACTCCTCTGTGCTTTCCTAAATGAAGCTCAAGTTTCTATCTTAAAACTGCAGTCTTCTGTGTGAAAAAGTATTTTAGGAATTCTATGGTTTGGATGTTGAATGTCCCCCAAAAGCCCATGGGTTAAAGCACTGGTCCTCAGGGTGCCACTGTTTGAGAGTAGTGGAGCCTTGAAGGGGTGAGGCTTAGTGGGAGGTCACTAGGTCACTGGGGTGTGGCATTGAAGGGGACAGTGGGACCCCAGTTTCTTCCTCTTTCCTCTTTGCTCCCTGCTTCCTGATGTACACAGCTTTCTCTGCCACATGTTCCTGCCATGATAAGCTGCCTCACCAGACCAAGGCAATGGGGCCAATCAGTCACGGGCTGAAACTTCCAAAACTGTGAGCCTATTTTAGTTAATTATCTCATCTAAGCGCAAGATCCCGAGTTCAATCTCCAGTACTGTAGAAAAAAAAGCTAGCCAACACAGGCATTAATCAAGACTTTCCAATACACTGTCCTTGATGAGACCATGACAAATTTTCTCTTAAAAAGAATGAGTAAATCAGGAAGGAATGGCAGCTTCTTAGGCATAGATTTATCATAAAGGCTTTTTATAGACAAGAAAAAGTAAAAATAGTAAATAGCTTTATTGATTTGTCCTCAAATTCATTTTTATGTGTTTATTTTTGTTTTACCAATTATTACCCACTATAGTCAAGGCATTTTATGCCAAGAGCTGCTAAGAGAAAAGCAGTGAGGTTAGCCAGTCCCTGTTCTTTGCTTAGGAAAGAAAAAAGACATGCACACAAATTACTATAACCACTATGATGACCCATAAATGTCACTGAGCCCGTCCATTTCATACTTACAGCATCTCACCCACTCCTCTGATCAGTCCTTTCCTGTTCTGGCTTTTCTTTTTCCCATTCCATTCCCTTTATCCCCTTCTAAAATATTATTTCTTACAGGTGCCTTTTTATGCATGCTATCTCACTCAATTAGAATGTAAGCTCCATGAGGGAGGGGAATATCTTTACTGTTTAGTTAAATGACATATCCTAAGACTGGAAAATAGTAAGCATCAATAATTCTTTTTTGTGGGTGGGTGGATGGGTGGATGGATGGATGGATGGATGGTTTACAAAGGTCTAAGGGAGCATAATAAAGGCCAAAGGGAAGATGGAACACATCTACTTGGTCAGAGGCTTTAGCAAGGGAGTAACATTGAAGTTGATATTGAAAAATGGGTCCGGCGTGGAGGTATTCCAGACAGAACTAAGAGCCTTAAAAAAACCAGAAATGGGGATGTCCAATGTGTGTTCATGGCCCAGGGAGGTCTCCACTGTGCAGCTAAAGGAGCTACTATGATGTCACTGCGGCACAGAACTAACTGCAAAGGCTCAACAAGGGCTGACTGATAAAAATGTGGCACATGGAATTAAAAAGACCAGATGGTTCTTGAGGGAGTTCAAAATATATGCAGCCAACCTGACACCTTTCAGGCCAAATTCAGAATGATGAGGAAGGAAGGGATCCCCAAGCACCAGATGGGCCAAATCAGCCTGTCGTAAGCCCCAGCTTGAAAGCCAAAGAGCCAAATCCCTCTCACAAGCAAGGGAACCTTAGGGAGCCTGTAACACGTGTGCCTTGCAGCCTCTTTGTCAAGGACCACAGAAGCCTGGGCTAACAAGGGCCCTCTGTGAGAGCTATTCAGGCCTGCTCCATTGTGTTTTAAATCTGCTAATCACAACCACCTCTGGGGTTTGGGGGTAGGGTGGGAAGGGATGAACACACTAGTCTCACAAGATTGGTTATTTAAAATCCCAGTTTGAGAACAAATCTCACAAACTAAGGAACATTTAAACAAGATGTAATTAGCTAAACTTTATAAAGCCAGTCATCTAGAACCTGAACTCCACAAGCAGTCTTTTTGTAAATAAAATTCGCCGATCTTGACAACTGCCACATTATTAATGAGCAGAGAAGCGGGATTTGAGGTAGCAGAGGTTTCAACAGAGAAAAATATTCAAAAAGCATATGAAATCTTTCAGCGTAGCAAAAACAATTTAGTGCTCCGAGTCAAAGTCCTAGCTAGATTTCTATTAGAAAAGAAAAAGAAAGAAAAACGTGTTCAATACTTGGATGGATCTTTACAAAGGTGGTTTGGTTGTCAGCTCCAGGTATTAGAAGTAACCCGGGGAAAGAGATGAGCATTTGTCTTGCTGCCCCAGGGGTACTCACACTCTATCTTTCATAAAACAAATCCATCAGCCAATGCTACTTCTAGGTGCCAAAGCCACGTCATCCAAAAATGCCCCAAGCAGGGAGGGATCATGATGAGGCATACTTCCAAATGCCAGCACTGCCTAACTGCTGAGTCATGAGGTTTTAAAGGAATTGCCTGTCCAGAGCTTGCCATTCTCACATCTGCAGGGGGACACCTGCCAAGATGGAGGACAGAAAAGGCGAGCCTTGGAAAGGCCCTACATACAAAGACAAAAACAATTATTCTGCAGAGCAAGCCCTTTATTGTCTTGTGGCATTGGGTCGACAGTGAAAAGCAAGATCAGCTTCATGCCAGAGCCAACGCCACCCACGTTCCAGCACACACTATTTCTGGGCATCACCCAGTGAAAGGGGAATACACACTCGCACAATAGGCATTTCAGTTAATGAAATGCAACCATTGTGCCTTTCCTACTGTACTCAGATGGTGAACACAACCCTGGCACCACCAGTGAAAACCACTGTGGGATGTGTTGATGAGTCAGCCAAACTCCTTAAGGAGTGAGGAGAACAGGCAGGGAAAATGGGATGCTTCAGAGAAACAGCTTTAGTTTTAGGAAAATTGCAATTCCAAGCACCATTGCTCATGAGGGTTTTTGCTTGTTTATTTTAATTTTTTTTACATTAATGTCTTGCCTGCTGTTTGACTGATTATATGTCCTTAAAGTTCATCAATCTAAGTAAAGACTAACAAAGGTGTCAAGGTTAAAGGGCAACATGGTTAACTACATTTTAGAAGAACTGCTTTGCAGTTCCTTGAAGCTTTAAGTGATCTTTGGGGCTGAGCAATGCAGAGCCCTGGGGTCAGGAATAGTTTTGGGAGGAGACATGCTGGATAGACAATCTCTGCTCAGCCAAGATCTCATGGAAGTTAGGGGGACACTTCTATGTGGCCCCTAATCCTGACACTGAAGAAAGAAAACAAAAAAACAGAAAAACAGAGGCCATGAGCTCCATTTCACTCTGTCAGGTCCGAGAATGATTTGCACTTTG